GATATGGTGACACTTCTGTGCTCTTTGTAGATCTGTATGAACAACACTTCTATGCTTGTTCAACTAAATCTTGCGTTATCTTTTCCCCATCTTTTTGCTAAGACTGGAGATAATCTAGTTTTGAATGAACTCCTGAATTTGTAATCATGTTTTGTTAAACTTCAAGTAAAGGGCATCTAAACCCTTTAGATTAGAAAATAGACTGCATCAATTGCTGCCAATGCCTATTTTCAGCCATGGTTTGTGATCACCTTCAAAGCTGGAATCTTACTTGTGCAGCTCTTTTGCTTTTTCCTTTTGACATTTCTCACTTTAACAATGTCTGACAGGGTTATAGGAGTGGAACAGCGTCTGAAACGTAAGTGTCTGATTTATTGCGATAAACCTTATATTTTTCTTGAATCTCTATTTCATACAGTGTTTTCTGTTGATTACTGTGATTGATGTAAGTATTTCTTGTCATTAATTGATGTTATGTTATTGTTGTCCTTGTCTTAAAAGAAATGACTTATACTAGAATATTTCATTTTTGTGTATGTAAAGAGTAATCTACATTAAGAATGGAACCCTTTTCTGGTACTTTCGAATTGTGTGTCCAGACTTGGTAGGAAATTGAAATCCGTACTTTGTGTATGCAGACTTGCAGCGGACTGGCCAGAAACTATGCAGATTGTTCGCCTCATAGCCCAGGAGCATATGAACAACAAGTTTGTTTCTCAACTCAATTCTTTTCAATGTCAACTTGTTGCATCATTTTGTTGTAATGTGCTGTGAAACATATTTACTTGGTCATTCTGCAGACAATATGTTGGCAAGGCAGACTTTCTAGTTTTTCGGACTTTAAATCAGCACGGGTTTCTTGGACAACTACAAGAGAAGAAGCTGGTCGGTGCCTGGTTCTAATTTTTTTAGTAACTTTGTTATTTGGCTGTGGTTCATCTACTGTCGGCTCATACACTTAGTTTTCTGACAGTTACTTTATACAGTTCTAATATCCAATTGGTCCTCGTTTCAGTGTGCTGTGATACAGTTACCATCGCAAACTCTGCTGCTGTCAATGTCTGACAAAGCAGGTCGTTTGATTGGCATGCTCTTCCCTGGGGTAAGCTTGATTGTAGTTGAATAAATTAATGTTCTGCATAATTATCTGTATTTACTAAATGGCCTTTTTTCCCAGGACATGGTGGTGTTCAAACCGCAGGTCCCAACTCAGCAGACACCAATGCAGCAGCAGCAGCAGCTACAACAACAGCAACTTCAACAGCAACAACAGTTACAGCAGCAGCAGCTGCAACAACAACACATGCATATGCAGCAGCAAGGCCTCCCACTTCAGCAGCCGCAGATGCAACTTCAGCAACAGCAGCAGCCGCAGATGCAACCGATGCAGCAGCAGCCAACACAGATGCAACCGATGCAGCAGCAGCCAACGCAGATGCAGCCGATGCAACACCAGCAGCCACAGCCGCAGCAGATGCAGCCAATGCAGCACCAGCAGCCGCAGCAGATGCAGCCAATGCAGCACCAGCAGCAGCAACAGATGCAGCCAATGCAGCAACAGCAGCAGATGCAGCCAATGCAGCAACAGCAGCAGATGCAACCACTGCAGCAACAGCAGCAGATGCAGCAAATGCAGCATCAACAGCAGCAGATGCAGCAAATGCAACATCAGCAGCAACAGATGCAGCAAATGCAGCCTCAACAGCAGCAGCAACCCCAGATGGTGGGTACAGGAATGGGGCAGCAGTTCATGCAGGGGCACAATCGGGCAGTGCAGATGATGCAAGGGAAGATTACGCCACAGGGGCCGGGCAGCATGCCTGGGGGAGGCTTCCTACCTTAAACACCTCTTGTCAGCAGGCATCAGATGAATTGAAGGTTTACACTGACCCGAGTGTTAAGATGGTTGTGATGCCAACTTTATTCGACAGATTAGATAAATAGTCACTTGTGTAGTGCTAAGTGATGTTTAGTAGTGTAAATCGATAGCACTCATGTAGCTAATACTACCGTACTGAACTGACCCCAATGGGAGTGGTGCTAAAACTTAATTTACATCCGATTTTATTGGTAGCCTAATAAATCCCGTGGTAAAAACGACCTTGTCAAAACAGACCCTTTCATCACAAAGACCGATCGAATGTTTACTCATAAGCATCCCTGTCACCAAAATAGATAACCGGATCTCCATGCATAGGTGCATACTTTATGGTATGGTATTGATGGTACCCGTAACTAATAGATATAACAAAGAATCATTATTTGCCTAAGCAGCTATTTAGCCCGATTAAACTATAGTAGCGAAGACAATCTGTGTTGTTTAGGTCCTAAATGGTGACTTAAATAGTTGGACCGTTTAAACTGTTAACAACTGTCTAAATAATCTAAATAGAATCGAGCTAAATATGATTAAACAAGCTAAACAACCATTTAATTCACCATTTATTCAATAAGAGGATTCCAACTACCACATTTGGAGACCAATTAAATAATCTAAATAGAATCGAGCTAAATGTGATTAAACAAGCTAAACAACCATTTAATTCACCATTTATTCAATAAGAGGATTCCAACTACTACATTTGGAGACCAACTAATTAATGTCGTAAGCATATGAGGTAGAGAGGGATTTCGTTTTAGGCTAGGCTTCAGCTTAGCAGAAGGGGTTACGAGTTGGACCGTCGGAGGAGATTTGATGAGCTATTCTCAAGACTTACTCCTAAAAGGAAATTAGGTTGCACTTGGGGCTACAACCCTGGGCCCGCATCCGTCCCTAAACGTCATGATAGTATGTTTTTGTTTGTCCCCTCCTGGTATCAGAGGATCAATGGCAGGCGAGCGACAACGCTTTTGATCTTTGCATCAACAATAATGTATATGTTAATCTGCATCGAATGTAGAAGTAATTTTTCAAATGGTAGATCAAGCAGGGAATGCCATGAATATGGAAATAAGAAATCCTCCCTGCGTCTCACGATAGTAGGCGTAACTACTTTTTTGAGTTGTCTCAGGATACTAGGCGTCGGCTCCACATGCGTCGCTGGATCCGCGTGTGGATTTATTGCTGGAGCGCTGGACTCCTCGTACCACACCCCTCCCGTTAGTATCTAGACGTTACTTTCACGGTGAAGCTGTCAACTGAGTCTATATGTACCTCGAGTAGTACTTTCCTTGCATGCATCTCTCGCCTCCCCTCTCTCTAGCACTTCCCTTGCATGTGATGGTGATGGAAGAAATCGCGCCGGAGAAGACTCAAGGACAGGCGAAGAAGCGGCAGGTCGTGAGTGCCCGATGCATGCAACGGCAAGCGCAGCTAGAGTTCCGCCGCGCTCGAGCGTTTCGTGTCCGTGCCATCCGCGCGTGGCCGCTAGCGAAGGAAAATTATGAAGATGCCGTCTCCATGCAGCAGCAAGCCAACGGTGAATCTGGAGGTCGTCCGCTCGCGATCAAGGCCGATGTCGATCATGGCGCCGACTTCAACAACATTCGGTTCGTCCCTGACTCACTGGCCGGCGACAGCTATGTTGCGGACTCATTTGAGGACGTCGAGGAAGAAGCTAGCATTGCTGCAGCTGTTGCTGCCGAAAGAGAAAAAGAAAGGGAAAAAATGAGAAGGCCCTTGCAATCGTCCGTCCTATAATGTACAAAATTTGGTTTCCTAGTTTTCCTGAATTGCATGAATGATCTAAATGGTCACATGATGTAATCGGTTACATGCAATTTAGTTTGTTGAAGATCAAACAAAAAGAGACATTCTGTAAGCTATGCAGTGATGAAATGCACTGTATCTTCATAAATTTCCTTATCTACTTGCAGCCTTACTGGAAGTTGACCAATTCTCTCCGGTGTTCCCTTCTTCAAATGCGGAATTGTATAATGCTGCCCTCCTTTTGCAAGCATTATCTCCCTCATGCATGTTTGTAGTGTAAGGAAGACACGATTTGACCTGTCCACCGGGTATTCTAGATAGGCTTTAATCACATTAGCCTCAATTTCTTGGATGTTTGACGGAGATGACTTTTCAAACAATGCCTGCAAGGCTACAAAAAAACCTAGATCCAAAACATTAAGATCCGGAGAATTAGGTGGCTGACACATCAACCTTATATCCCACCCATCTTCTTGTGCAACATGGCAAAAATCCGGGTCATCAACTGTAATATGCGTCTTCGCGTTGTCTCGTTGAATGAATATTGGGCACCCTCGTTCTTCAACAGGCCATTTTTCTTTGATGGCAGGCAAGACCTTTTCGATCAAAAACTTACGGATAGTTTCCCTCGTGACCGATGTCATGGCCTTGAGCTCCAAGGTTCCTATATTCAACCATGCAAGTAGAGTAACCAAGATAAGTAGAGTTGCTATACATACTAGTAGTTGCTCCTAAGTAAACAAAATTAAATTTCATACCTCTCGACCTATTGGGACTTCTTCTCTTGGCCGGCTCCAATTTAGTGAAGGGAAAAATTCCTATTTTACTATCAAATGTGCATACACCATTCTCAAACCTCGGGCGGCCTGTCACACCTAGAAACATCACCTTCTCAATGAAATTTTTGCTCTTCATGGCTCTTCGAGGGATTTGTTCGCCTGGCGCCAAGTAATAAATTTGGTTTTTCTTTGTCCTATAAAACCATTTCTCATCTATGTAAATGACATTGTACAAAGATTTGAATGTTGGGTCATCTGGTAAACTATGGCTGTCAAGCATTTGTGTGCAAAATCGCACACATTCCTTCATGTTTTGTTCAGTTAAGGTGAACTTTATGGCATTTGTATGGCGCCTAAACTTTCCTTCTTTTAGACGCCTATGCAATGTGCTCCTTGACATATGCAAGGCACTTTCTAGGACACGGATAGTATGATGCTGTCTAAGTGGCACAATTTTTTTTCTTATTGGAATCAAAAGCTGAAATTCCACCACCAGTTTTTCCATCTAGCCATACACGCTGGACAACTCTCAACGGCACCCCCATATCACTAGCAACAGATTTCGTCACTCCCTACTTCATCATGCCTGGAGCTGATCTTTCTAAGCACATCGCATACAGGATTCTTTTTATATCAGGAGGGTAGTACCGCCTCCTCTTGATATTGGCAGGAGTGCCTACATAAAGAAGAAAAAAACATGGTTTGCATGGGACTGTTCATTCAAGGTTTGCATGCAGAAAGCTTCGGCTCATTTGAAAAATAGAACATGGTTTGCATGCGATGGAGTACCTGAGTCGAATGCCACAGCATCAGCTAAATCTCCGGCGTCTGCTTGAGGCACGGCATCTGCTTCTTCAACTTGCTGCACGGATTCCCCTTCAACTTGCTGCAAGATGTGTGCACCGCTGCCCGCTTCAGGTTCAACCACGACGTCAACTGTGTTGTGGTCACCTTCATCTTGGCCATCTTCACCTTCGTCGTCGTCGTCGCCATTGTCAGCTGTATCATTGCCATTAAGTACACAGCTCGTACAATGAAAACATATAGAAAAAGAAAACTCTCTGTGATTACCTCCGTTGCCGGAGTCCGAAACATAATCATAGCTCAAATCATGTACGTCTCCCTCAAATTCCTCAATCTCATCCCAGTTGATAGGCTCGTTCAAATCTAAACCAGGCATGGTGTTCCAACGAAGAAGGAAGATTACAGAAAGGAATGTGCTGTTAGCCGTGCATAAGCATTGCCTATTTATAGGAGCACAAATGAGCCATTAGTGGTGCCACTTGCCAAAATATTTTTCATGCGCGCCAAATTAGTTAGGCGCCAGCAGCTGAAAAAAATAGCGCCGGCGTAGATGCATGCCGAAAAAAATTAGCGGGCTAGGAAAAATTGGTGCGATTTGCATCTGTATGCATGCGTGCATGTAGGCGTGAGATTTGCATCTGCATGCATGCATGTAGGCATGAAATCTATCGAGTAAAGTAAAACAATGTCAGTCAGATCCCTAGAGCATCATAGGTCTGAAAATATTAAGGTATATGAATGCACATAGGTAGAGATTAGTTGGCATAATACCATATACACCTATTTGAGCAAAGACAAAAAAAAAGAACTTATCAAATTATGGTAAGCATGCAACATATTACATACCACACATGGTCTGGTCGAGATAGCTGTTGGGGAGGAAGAAGAAATGGTATAAATACCCCCTCCTTTCCTAGCAGACGAATAAGTCGTGGCAGTACTGCGACAGGTGCAGCAATGCCACGCCAGCCAGAACAGTAAAGGTAGGAAGAATTAGGCATTAACTTGGCTTGGTTTGAAGATTTTATTAGTGGGTATATAAGCACTTGGTTACACATTGAAGCTTGTACGTTGTGTCCTCCTTTATAGTGCGGCTTTTTCTATACTCAATTTCAAAATATAAAAGAATTTAAACGCCGTTGAGTCCAACACCACGTCCTTTTTGTAATTAGGGCCTCCACCATTGCAAGTGACATCCTTATAAACATTTTACATGCCTGTTAACTCGATAAACCCTAATTATGTGGTCATCATCAGCAAAACCCACAATTAGGACTTGATTGCACTTACACATGTCCACTCATAACTGGCCATCACTCCAATGGCATCTCCATCACGTCTTATGAATGCTGCAAAAAAGCGACACCACGTTCACCCAACATTTCCGCAAGGGGCATCTCGACTTCAGCGTTATCGACGCCGTCGTCACCAACATTTCAGTGAGGTGCTTCGCCATCGACTTCGGCATCATCGCACCACCTTCACTAATATTTTGGTGAGGGGCTTTGCCATTGACTTCGGCGTCATCGACACCGCCTTCGTCAACATTTCAGTGAGGGGCTTCGTTATCGACACCTCTTTCACCAACATTTCAGCGAGAAGCTTCGCCATCGACTTCAGCATCATCAACACCACCTTCTCCAACATTACGGTGAAGGTTTGCCATCGACTCTGTCGTCATTGACAAAGACTTTACAAACATTTCGGTGTGAGTTTTCGCCATTGACTTTGGCGTCATCAACACCACCTACGCTACCATTTCGATGAGGGACTTTGCCATCAGCTTTGGCATAATTGACATCACGATCACATACATCAATATTTCAGCGAGGGGCTTTTCCATCATCTTCATCATCGTCGACTATGCCTATGCCAACATTTTCGGCTAAAGGGAGTTGCCACCAACATCGGCTCCTTTGAGTTCGTCATTGCCATCAATCTAAGGGGGGGGGGCATTGTCTACAACATATCTGACAACAACCACACCCACGTCATCTACTCCAAGTACACAAAGAATCTATCACAAGAACCAGCCAAGAGGTATTGGTGAGGAGTGCATTGGACAAGCAAACCTCCCGAAGATGCAAGCCTTGCATGGCGTCTAAGAGTGAAAGTTTGAAGAAATGTCTTGATTGTCTACAAGTACATCAACTACTTCGCCTACTTAGAGTACATCAACCGTTTCAACGAAGGCTTAGTTATGAAGAAGTTGTCGAGGGCTCAAGGCCATGCGAAGGAGCAAACTACCAAAGGAGAAGTCGTGGAGGTTCGAGTGAAGTTCGCTACTAAGGAGACGTCGAAGGACAAAGCACCTTATGAACGATTCTTGCATGTTTTAATGCCGCGTGCGTGCTCTTTTCTTTATACCATTTTTCCATGGGGTTTTCATAATGGAGTTTTTAGCAAGGCGGCACACGTGTAGGTTGCAAAGGGAGATCCTCACAAGCTTGCAGCTAAGTCTAAGTTGTAATTGGGTCACATTGAGTTGTATTTAGCTATTGTGTCTTATACTTCCATCTAAAACAAAATAGCTGCAAGGATATTTTTGAGGGGGTATCATATGCTACGAACCCCATTAGTACAGAAAGGCTCAATTTAGGATATTTTTGAGGGGGTATCATATGCTACGAACCCCATTAGTATAGAAAGACTCAATTTACTAAGCCTAGAGTATTACTTGTGAGTGCTTAAGGCCCATTTATAACTTCAGAGGATTCATTTATAATTGCAATCTCCACCATGAGGGAATGAAAACCTCCACCTCCTTAAAAGAGGCAGGGGAAAGCAAAGAGGACCTTTTGCTATACCCTCATTTGTTCTTCTCACTTTCCTCTCTTATGTTCTATGTTTAGAACCAATATATACCTTTTAAATTATGCACTACTAAGAAATTAAACAAGTTGACAACTAACCTAGCAAGTTAGCTTTTTCCTAGACTCTTGAATAACTTATATTTTAGGATGGAGTGAGTAGATTGATGGTCAGAATTAGGACACTTGAATAGTTTAAGAATTTAAATCCGCAATTTTATAGTCCGAGAACTGAAAATAAGATAATACTTTATGGATCTGGATACAATAACTCTTAATGAAATAACATTGAGTATTCATCAAATTCAAGTATTATCCAGAATATTACAGTTTGGAAATTAAACCTGCTACGTCTCTTTTCAACAACAATTAATACAATTGACAACAGTTTTAAATGAAATGATCGTTAAAAAGTTATTTCAATTCTATGCTTTCTTCTTGGAAACTATAAAATCTTCTTCCGTTAAATCTTTCGTTCGAAGCATCAAAATTACTTTAGGCCTGTGCTTTCTTCTTGGAAACTTTGAAGGATTGTGTTGCACGTGTTCATGGTGCGGGCATCTAAAACGTTGTGATTCCAAAGTTTAATCATGAAGAAACGCCAACCCCTATTCATTAAGAAAACAAATTGTAATCAAATAAATAACAATACACGGTAGTAATTTTTTTTTTGACTAATGGACTTCCAAATCATCCATTTACCACAATTGAGCAGGATTCTGTACAAGTTGTCGTCCATGCAACTGAGAGAATGCCTCACAGGCCCAAGGTATATGACCATCCGCTAGCACTCTGCAATTTGATTTTCTAAACAATTAGTACAAAGATCAAATAACATGGCTAGTTTGTCTAGATAGGACTGAAAACAACAAAGCATGACAAAAAAGTATGCTTAACACAGAAACATAACTAATTATAAAGGTATGAAAGAAATGTCTAATCTTATATCTACAACGCTATATCTAAAACATCTCAAACTAAAACACATTTTTCAATAAAGGACGTACCAGTGCAGAGAGCTCCCGCTCTGTGCGGGGTCTGGGGAAGGGTGTCAGTGGCAAGCCTTATCCTCGCCTGTGCAATGCGAGGAGACCGCGATTCGAACCCGAGACCTTCCGGTCATAGGCGGTAAGACTCTACCGCTTGTACCAGGCCCGCCCTTCTAAAACACATTTTCCAATATTCCTATGAAAACATACATGCCCTTAATGTTTTGGTGCTCAGAATTTGACAAATTTGAATCGAAAATCTGATCATCCTATTGCGGCTGCTGCCTATTTCACCGATTCCTCGACATTGTGGAATCATTGTCTCGGACACCTTGGTCTCGAGACCCAACCTAAATTTAGTGGCTTGAAATAAGACCTTTAGAGATTCATTGTGTCATGCTTGTCAGCGTGGGCGCCCATGCTTCCCATGTATTTGATTTAGTGCATTATGCCCTCTGGACTTCCCCAGTTCATAGTGTTTGCTTATAAACACTACTCGGTGACTCTCGATGATATGCCTCACTACCTCTAGACATTTCCTTTGTCCCTGAGATCTAACACTTTTGATACTTTGTCTAGTTTCTTTGCCTTCATTTCCACACAGTTCGGCGCCACGATCAAAATTTTTCAATGCAACAATAGTCGTGAGTTTGCTAACTCCAGCGCCCGCACCTTCTTCCTCACCCATGGAATCCACATTCGCATGCCGTGTCCCTACATCTTGGCTCAGAATGGGAAGGCTGAGTGTGCCATTTGCTCTCTCAACAATGTCACCCGCTCTCTCCTTTTTGAAGCTAGCATGCCCCCAACATACAGGGTAGAGGCGCTCACCACTGCTACTTGTCAACATATTGCCCACCAAAACGCTACGATCCTCCACCCCCAATCAGGCGCTCTATGGCACCCCGATCATCTACACGTTTTCGGTTGCAAATGTTATCCCAACCTGTCTGCCACAGCTACCCACAAACTCACTCCTTGCTCCTCCTTGTGTGTCTTCCTTGGCTATTCCGCTCATCACAAGGGATACCACTGTCTTGACACCGTCTCCAATAAGATCATATCATGCCATGTGATCTTTGACGAGACCTCTTTTCCTTTTGCCGAGCAGCCCAGCAAACCTTCCCCCACGAAATTCAAGTTTTTGGAGGATTTCTCTAACCCTATGTCGGTGCCCATATGCCTATCACACTATTTGTTGCTTGCAAGTTCGTTCCCACCATCACCTCCATTGGCAGCTCCCATGCCAACACCTATAGGGGACACATCTGTCCCTTTGACGTCGGCACTGCCATGCGGCAGTTGTCTCTAGAGACCCGATTGCATTGCCATGTGCGGCCCCTCCTCGCCACTCCAGCCAAATGCGGCAAGTTGTCCTTCACCAACACCCACGGCCACGGCAGCTGCCCTGGCACCTGCTCTCCCCTCACCGGTCCGTACCTTACACAAGGTGTACTCTCAGCGCCTAGTTGTGCCTGCAGTGGCTGCACCCTCGCCGGCCTCCCCTATGTCTGCCCCATCGGCGACCCTGCCCAAGGGCGCGATGGCCTTTCCGCCAGCGAAGAACCAACACCCCA